GTTGTCATTTGCAAAGGTCACTACTTTCAAGCTATATGACCTTGAGAAAGTTAGAGAATCTCACCAAACCTTAATTTCTTTTCCCTTTTATTAAATTTTTAAAGTTGTATATGGGCTCAATGCCTTCATTTGTTTTTATGCGATGCTAGGATCGAACCCAGTGCCTCACGCTTGCGAGGCAAGTGCTCTACCACTGAGCTATAACTCCAGCCCCTTAATTTCTTTACCTGTAAGAAAATAATGAAAGTATACTTAACCTTTATATTTTTGTCATATCTGTCACTAAATACACAGTATTAATAATTTTATGCTTCTTTGAAAATACTTTTATATGATGGAGTGATCATCTATTTTCAATATTGTTTATAAATAGCAGTTTTGTTCTTGCTTACCATAAACACATATATTACATGTATAAAATACAAAATGCTCTTTTGCCAAAATTCAGTATACTCTTAGCTATTTCAGAATTAATCTATTGCTTTGTAAAGGACTATAGCCTCACTTTATATTTTTTTCTTTGGTGTCAATATCCTTTATGTGAATTCAGATTCTGAGCCATTTGATAAACATGTTAGATTTTAAAGACTCACTACTGTCCTTTCTAATGAGAGGAAAAACTGTGCCTCTTTGTTTTCTACTTGTAAAGCTGAATCCCAGGAGACTTTACAATGTACTTAATTTTCAATTTATGGACAGGGTGGGACCCTAAAACAGAACTGTTCAAGTAATAAAAACTTAAGGGACAAATTGAATATTGTATTTGAGAACCAAATGCTATAACTGTAACTTATTAAAGTTAAAAATTAACATTGAAAATTTCCTGTTTCCTTAATCCTAATCTATTAAAAGCAATAATTATATCTATAAATAGCAGAGTCTTTATGCTCAGTAAACAAATGATGCCCATCCCATTCTATTCTTAGATAAAATGAGATTCTTATCTCTAAATATTGTTAGTCTTTCCAGATAAACAAAAAGGAATTCTCACAGAGGAAGTGAAGTTAGTTGCTAATGAATCATTTCGAGATAAGAAGGTCAGTAAAGCTTGTTTTCCACAAAGGAGAACACAGACATTGCATCCCTGGGGAAAATATTAGGATTATAAGAAAGGGAATTAAAATTAAGAAAATAAAATAATTATTTTATCTTCTAGGATCTATTAGGAAATACAGGTAATACCAATGCTCCTCAACAGATGATAGGGTTGTGTCCTGATAAACCCATCATAAGTTGACAGTGAAGTTGAAAATATGCTTAATGTACCTGAGCTGCCAAACACCATAGCTTAGCCTAGCCTGTCTTCAGTGATCTGAGTATATTTACATCAACCAACTGTTAGGCAAAATTATCTAATCCCAAACCTAAGTGTTGACTCTTTCATGTAATGTACTGATTGAAAAACAGAATGGTTGTATGGGTGTATTTTCCCACCACTGTAAAGTTGGAAAGTTATAAGTTGAACCTCTTAAGTTGAGGGCTGTCTGAACACATTTCTGAATTCATGGTCACTATACACCTTTCTTTTTTTTTTTTTTTTTGCCTGCTTCATTATGAGTACATAGAGGTGTGTGTGTGTGTGTGTGTGTGTGTGTGTGTGTGTGTGTGTGTGTGAACTGAGGGTCAGAGGAAAGAAGCACAGTGGTAACTCTGTAGCTGGTTTAAAACACTGTGATGTCTGGATCCTCTGAACTGTAAAGTCTGTGAGTCCATAGGAACTCAGGGAAGTTAAAAGTATAAAAGACAAGAAAGAATCAAGGCTATGATGGGCCTCCAAGCCTAGGGTTCTATAATGGTACTCTTTTGGGTAGGTGAGGAAAGGATAATAATACCTGTTTTATCTACCTCACAACATTACATAAAGTAATCAAGAAAGCTAATAAAGGGCACATTGCTTTGAAAGTTAGAAGTTCATTTAATCATTAGGGACTATAGTCATTTATTAATTATTATCATCATCAAAAATTTCTCTACATAATAAAAAGAGAGAAGACTAACTGGATTTTGGAAATAACCTTTGTTTTTGGTAACATTACTGTTCTCCAAAAATCTTGCTTACTTTATGCTTTTTCTTTCCATGTCAATGTTCTTCCTGTGATTTCAGATTCTGAGTCATTTGAAAAACATGTAAAATTGTAAAGTCTCACTACTGTCCTTTCTAATGAGAGGAAAAAGGGTCCCACATCTTTGATGAATAACTAAACAAACTGAAAACAAAGCAGATTTTTGAGTTTGAAAAGAAGTACTCTGATAACCTAACTCTGATCCAAGCCCCAGTTATTCAAAACTTCAGCCCCATTCATTTGAACTGAAACACTGGCGGTTTACAGCAACAAGTAGTGATTGACATAGTGTATGGTGAATCACTTCCAGTTTACAACATTCCTGAAATGAACCACAGAAAAAGCTTAGATAACTGAGTACTTCCAGTATTGTGGGTGGTCTTTGGATGCTCCTTTGGCCACCTTCTCCTCTTATAATAAATGATTATTGATTCCAAAGCTTTTATTCATACTTCGAGAAGGCTATGGCTGTCAATGGGTGTTTTGTCAGTAGGAAGGACACCAACTCCTTCCATGTTTCCTCATAGCAGAGATTCTTCAGGAAGGAAATCACTTGTTGGTTCTTGTGTTCCTCCCTAGTGCCACTTCCATTCCTGGGAATTCTACCCATCTGGGCTAGATTTGGGGCCACTGGAGGATGCTGTACAGTCACTGATTCTCTTGTAAGACATTCAACTTTTCTACCCCCAATGCAGAGTACAGTTAGGACACATTTCATGAGGTCTGACAGGGCAGATGAAAGACAAAAATTAGTTTGGTGTGTCAATAACTAGAAGAGGCTTTTATAGAAACATGGAATTATGATTAAATTAAGAAATGAAAAAGAGAACATGAATATTTTTTGTCTTAATTTCATCTTGAAATGTGTTCAGGAAGTTATTCTACACTGACTAAACTGAAATCCATTGAGATCCATATGCAAGAGATGTTGACTTTTTCTTGAAATCTCAGAAATTATCTAGTACAACCATGTCATTATAATGCGAAGACCAGCTATCATTAACTACAAAGCTTGTAATATATACTTGGTATTGTTCTGAACAGTAAACATATATAAACACACATAACCACAATATATGAATTACCTGTAAGCCTTATAACAGTTGAACAATGTAGGTATTATTATCTTTGGTTTACATATTAGGAAACTGAGGCTCAGAGAAAATAAGTGACTTGCCCAAGGCAGAATAGGAATGGTGAGTCAAGTTTTGCACTCAGAAATAACCTTGCTCCAAAGCCTGCTTAGTTTCCATTACACTGTGTAGTTACAAAGACAGGAATAGAAACAGACTTTCTGACTCCCTCTCCCATTCCCTTTCCAGAAAGCCAAGATGGACTGAGATTTACTAACTTGTAACAGTATGCAATTTGCTTCCTATGCTCACTTCTTTTATTGAACCATTAGAATGAAACAAGCTACCTCAAAAGTGCAGCCCTTGAAACCAATAATTATATTTTTGTAGGAAACAAATTATTTCATGGGACACCAGAAGAAAGGACATGCTCTTACTTCTATGGTTCTCAGAAGACTGTCATGTCCTCAGAGTTGGCCAGCCTTGATGAGTTTCTTGGAACAGTTATAAAAAAGGTCTTTGACTGCATGAAGTCCAGAACTTTGCTTCCATTGGATGTGAAGCTCATGAAAATGCCTGAAATCAAACCATATAGTTTTTGCATGTTCTTGGAGTGGTAGTGTTGAACTGGTAGAGTAAAATAAGCTAGGAGTACAAAGGCAAGATGGAGGAAAGATCCAAGAAGAAATTTTCAATAGAAAAATGTCACACATATTTATAACCTTTAAGAGCTTTTTTTCTTGTTTTCTTCTGAAAATATAAATAATAGGAAAATACAAGAATAAGTTTACTTTTGGTAAAAACTAATTAAGACCCATTTTTGAACAATAATTTGGATATTTATGTGTTATGGGAAGTTAACTTTGAATCTCTGATATTTATGAACATGTTTGATTATAAAATTAGGCTGAGGATAGAAAATCTCATTGAGGGGGCTGGGGATGTGGCTCAGGCGGTAGCGTGCTCGCCTGGCATGCATGCAGCCTGGGTTCGATCCTCAGCACCACATACCAACAAAGATGTTGTGTCCGCCAACTAAAAAATAAATATTAAAAATACTCTCTCTCTCTCTCTCTCCTCTCTCACTCTCTCTTTAAAAAAAAAAAAGAAAAAGAAAATCTCATTGAGACTGAAAAAAATGTTAGTAATTTATATACAAGCTTTGTTTTACCTAAGTGTCTGCCTTTGGTAATGAATAGGGGTGAAGCAGTATGTTCAGTGGAAGGAACATTGAATTGTGTGTGGTCTGCTGTGGGTGTCACCTGTCCCTTCTACCTCAACCTTGTGCTCTTGGGAAAATGATTGATCCTTCTCTGAGTTTGGTTACCTGAGTATTCAATGTTAGAATTTGGCTAGATTCTCCCTTAGGGTAATTTATCCCTTATGACAATTAATTTAGATAATTCAGAACATATGTGGATAGAGTTAACAAGGCCCCTAGATTCTTACACTATAAGCAGTTTTCTCCAAATACAGAAATCTTTACCTTTGTACCTGACTGGTAGGACAACTAACCTGTCTTCTTTTCTCCTCCCTTTCCACTTATGAAGGGAACTCAGTTGGAAACATGTTGCCTACCAGGTCATATGTCTTGCTCTAATAAGGAACTCAGCTCTTACCCAGGATTATAGAGTGCTCAACTGTGGGTAGGTCCTTGGATTCAGTCCCTCGCTTTTCTGGGGGAGGTATCATGAAAACACTTTACTACTTTAGAAATAGATATTATCTGCTCAAATCTGCCACCTTGACAGGATCCTAAAGGATGGAAGATAGATTGGTGTGGTGTATGAAGTCTAGCATGAGCCTGAACAACTGGTTTTATGTGTCACCAACCTGCCAGTATATAAATGAGCTGTGTCTCACAAGTTCCGTCTTAGAGAACCAGTGAGCGATGCATGGAGCAGACCTGTAGCCACCTTACATCATCTTCAACATGAAGTCAGTCACAGTGTCAATACTTCTGACCCTGGCTCTTTGCCTCATTCAAGGTGAGTAATTTGCATGCTATCTAAGCCTCTTGCCACACATCTCAAAGCCCTGGGGAAGGGCCTTTTTCCCCAAATTGCCAAGAAAATGCTTATCTATAATTTTGAAATGTCTTGCCGATATAGGTTTTGAAGATTTAGATACATGGGTTTGTAATTATTATGTCAACTTTAGAATTAGCAAGTAGTTTAAAAACATCTTAATTTTTATCCATGAGCAATTCTTCTACTAATTCTCTACTAGTTCTGAAAGGAGAATAGATTCTTCTTTACCTTCCCCTCACCAAACTTATCAATTCACTCTACATATGTATGTTAAACATTAAAAAAAACTTTTGCAAGTAATATAGATAGCTTAATTCTATATGTATAAATAAAATATTTCAAAAGCAAAATTTTATTATCTATCCTTATTTTAAAGCAAATGTGCCTTCTACCTTATTTTATTTCTGTGTTTTCAAGTGCTAAATGGATTGAAAGTATTGCTCCTAAAATGAGAAGGATTTTTGTATGAGCTAAAAGATGAGTTTTAGCATTTTATATTTTATTGTGAAGGGAATACAGATTGCCTAGATTTATCTTGTTCTGAATCACTTTTTAAAAAAGAACTACATAAATAAAGTGAGATCATTATTCACAAATGATACCCACTTTCCTAAAATAAATGTATTAACAAGACAGTTAATGAGGATATATCATAGTCTGATTTTAATTAATCTTTCTTTTATCATATCTTTAATATTTAATCTACAGTAAGTAGGCAGAGTTGCCAGAATTTAGAAAATGGAATTTTGTGTATATATGTGATAAACTTTGTGCTCTATTATGCTTTTAAATTAAATTTAAAGGGATATGACATCTTTGGTAGTATGTTACATTACAATTTATAAATGGAGACTGCCATACTTTACTCTGAAAGGATATTTTGGAAATTAGATATTTTGAGTGTGTCAGAAAGCATTTGAGTATGAGTTCCCAAAGAATTTCAGCTTTCTGAGTGAGTAGACCTTCGTGAGTGTACATGCTGAATTCCTGGTGCCACTACCCTTATTATATTTGCAGTGATAAATCTTAATGTGTTCAAAAATAATTTGTGGTTTTACAACGTATTATTATTAAAGCAATCAAAACACTGCATTGAGTGAATCACTTTTTTCATTTACTGGTTTACATTCCCTTAACTTTGGTTTTTGCATTTTCATCCCAGATGCTGCCAGTGAAGATGCAAATCAGGTTAGTCTTGCTTTTTCTCATTGAATCCATTCCAAGATGCCTAAAGAAAAATGGTTTGTGGCCAAAACCTTCATGTTAATAACGCCAACATTATACAGATGGGTTGTAAGAGCTTTTGTTAAATACGCAGTGAACAGGTTTTTAGGACTCAAGACATGAATCCCTCTGTCTTTCTCATTCTCTTTCCCATACGCACACAACCAATGTTTTGATGATGATTAATGTCTATAAGAGACAATCTATTGTGCTAAAGAAGTGCTTTAAAATCCCATAAACAAACACAAAATAAATCAACCAAAAACCATACTGTTGTTCTACTTAGCAGCTGAACAAGCCATGGTACATCATTTAAAGAGCTAAATGTTTTCATAATCATTGTGCAAAAGAGGTTGTTCATAACTTGTTTATAGTCAGTGTAAATATTCCATCCAATAAACATATATTGAGCATCTATTATGTGTCAGACCCTGTTTGTAATGCTGGGGATATTCTAAAGTAAACAAAATAGTTGAAAACTCTGCCTTTCTGACTTGTATTTTAGTAAAGAGATGAGTTAATAACTAAATTAGTAAAATATATAGTACATTAAGTAATGATTTTTGCTAGGAGAAAAATAAAGTGGGATTCAGGATAGTAATTCCAGGAAATGGAGGTGGTATCACTTCTCACTGGAATAGTCAGGAACCTTCTCCCTGAAGAGAAAGATTGGAACAAGAATCTGAAGGTTCATTAGAAAGTGAGCTGTGAAGATTTTTGCAACTTCTAACAGAATAGGCAGAAGCACCCAGAGGCCCTGATACAGGGAGAGGGTGCTGAACCAACCAGAAAGGGTCTTTTCTTTGAGAAACAGAATACTCATTTTCTATGGAAATAATTTTTTTTAACTCTTAGAAAGACAAAAGGGCCAATATCCCTCCATGCACACACACTGCTATTCATGCCATTAATTGAACATTAAAAATGGTGTTATGTACGTAACAAAATTTACTGAATTGCTCAAAGACTATAAACATTAAAATAATAAAAACTGAAATGATTCTTCTGCCTTTTGAAATTCTTTGAACCATAATTAAATTATTTTTTGCTCTATTTTATTGAAAAAAGATTTTAAAAAGATAATTCTCACAGTAATAACCCAGGGAATGCCATCATAGTCTTTTTCATCTAAGTTTGCTGATTAAGGAGAGCTCTAGAAACTGTAGTAGAGTAGAGGAAAAGGCTTGATTTGGGGGAACCAGAGAGCATGCTCAGTTGGAAAAAAAAGAGTGTAGTACAGATCTCACAGCACCAAGCCAACATTTTATTTTTCAGAATCCATGAGAATAGGTGATGATTGATAATTTTGCACTGATTTTTTTTATATGGCTACATTCTATTTCACCAAACATTGTCTAAAAAATATAGGTTTAGCTACATCATATTAGCATAAAAGGCAGATAGAAAGGAAAACTATTGATGGTAATGTTGTTCTTTTCCATGTTCAGTTGCTAGAGATCTTTCCAGGATCAAACAAGCATGCTGAGTGTTAAAAACATGAGCCAGAACAGCATGGCAAAGCACTCTAGCACTTTTTAAATTTGTCAACACAGAAGGGTCCTTGTGAAGCCAAAGCAAATGTGTTATTGCTGTGATAGCCAGATAGGGTGATGCCAGTTCTTGGACAGTTATGATGGATAATGCAAGATCACAACAAAAGAGGTAAACAAAGAGCAGTTGACCCAAGAGGGCTCCAGACATGCAGAAAATAAGGACAGCAACAATATCAAAAGAAGAGTGAGCTGAGGATAGGCAGTCACACTGCCGGCTAATAGTGACTAGAAAATCATCACCCCACCTCAACATGACTTATTGGTCTAGATCTTCTCCTGCTTCAACAAGCTGTATCATGGCAATTGAGAGAGAGTCCATTTACCCCAGAGAGAAATACAACTTATGCTTTCAATTTATATGGCCTTTTCCTGTGTCCCAGTAGAATCACTAGTTAATTTTATGACTCAGAAAAAATAATACTGAGCCTCATCTTAAGTAATTGATACTTTGAGCAAGTTTCTTAATCTTCTCGCTAAACCTTTGTAAAACAATAAACAAACAAACAAACAAATAAATAAATAGATGTGAATCTAGGAACTTAGCTCTCATCCAATTGTGACATTGTAGATGTTCAATTCAGAATTTATCTGGATAGATGCTAAACTTTTATGATCAACCACTAATTATTTAGAGCTTAATTCCAATATTATTATGTCTTTGCTCTATATATTTTCTCTAAGATAACTTCATAAGGGATTTAGTTCTATTATGAAGACACAAACTCTTCTCTCATTCCATTGACATGATTTTAGGATGTTTCAGAACCAATTATATCTGACAATTGAGGCAGTAACTTACAAAGTTGGCATAAAATACTATAGAATCAGAGACCAGACACAGATATCAAGATGCCTAACCATGAATCTATAGTCAGAAATTAACACTGTGATACTCTGACAGTATCACTGGGTGGAGATGATAATCTTAAGAATTATTTTAACAGGTCACCCTTAGTAAAATTTCCAAGGTCTGGACTCTGATATTTTTTATTGTTCTTTACCATTAATCATTTTGTTAGTGCTTCCAACTGCCCATCATGCATATGAGGCTAGATTGTCCATTAGACCAAAAGCACTTTTATGGAAAGGATACTTCTGTCTAATTTGCGACTGTATCTGACACCTGACAAAATACAATAATCTCATAATAAGTGATTGTTATTGATCGAAGTATTACAAAGATATAGGGGGCTCAATAGAATTTTATAATCAGCACTTTTGAGAAGGTTGTCAGAGTTGGAACAAAGATTTTACTTATTTTCTGAAGCAAGCATTATGAAGAATTATTCTTTTGAAAAGATCAAAATATAATAAAATCTTATATCCCAAAGGCTTGATCCAAAGACCTAGTGAACTTTCTAAGCTAAAAGGGAATATTAACACTTTAAGTCAGTACTTTGCTAGATGGCACCAATGCACCACTGATTTTTTTTTTTTTTTTTTTGTACCAGGTATTGAACCCAGGGGCACTTACTCACTGAGCCACATCCCCAGCCCTTTTTCATATCTTATTTAGAAACAGGGTCTCACTGAGTTACTAAGGGCCTTGCTAAACTACTGAGGCTGTCTTTGAACTCTCCATCCTGCTGCCTCAGCCTCCAGAGCCGCTGGGGCACCAATGATTTTTAAACTCCTTAAAAGGTGACATATTCAGCAGGCCTTTAATAAGACATTTTGAACCAATAAATGAGAAGAAAGAACCATCACTTTCAAAGATGATTCTACTGTCATTCCCCTATCCTCTCTAACATGCATAATGATTTCCACTTTCCTCTCTAACCTCGGTATAGTGCAATCATTGGTATTTACCAAAGCTCATAGCACATAGCAAAATATGTCTTCAAGGATGTTGCACAGAATAGTCAAACAGTGGTACAGGAGAATGATCTGAGAGAGACAAATGGACAGACAGAGAGGGGTAGGTTTTTTTTTTTTTTTAAGAAAATTTTCACTTTTTGAAAAGAATTGCTCAATAACTTATTTATTTATTTTTTTATGTGGTGCTGAGGATCGAACCCAGTGCCTCACACATGCTAGGCAAGCACTCTACCATTAAGCCACAGCCCTAGACCGAGGGGTAGGTTTTGAGACAATGGCACAATACTTCCATGGACTCACAAGCTTTTATTCTGGTTGTAGTGACAGAGTTGATATTGAAGACGTTGTTATTAGGGTAGGAGTGGAGGCAATTTTAAGAAAAGAATACAAAGTTGAAAATAAAGAATGGCTAGGACTCTCTCACAACCTTGGGAGAAGGGCCATGCACCTTCAATTTTATTAAATTTTTTTTTAATGGCACCAGGGATTGAACCTAGGGGCACTTAAACACTGAGCCCCATCCCCAGCCCTTTATTATATTTTATTTAGAGATAGATAGGGTCTCCCTGAGTTTCTTAGGGCTTTGCTAAATTGCTGAGGCTGGCTTAGAACTTGTGATCCTTCTGCCTCAGCCTCCCGAGCAGCTGGGATTACAGGCAT